GCGAAAATCAGCGAAACCTGCGACGGATCGCGGACTCTGACATCAGCTTAAGGAATGTACGCGCGTAAGAGCGCTCACAGCTTCGCAGTGTGCCGAGATGTAAGATCGCGCGCGAGAGAATGGATGAAGGATCAGCGGGAAAAATCGCTCGACGTGCCGTGGGAACCTCCAAGAGCGTCACCAGGGGCAGTAAGGTATGCTTCCCCGAAGGGTTGGGGGACGAAAATCCCTTTAAATTTTCTCTGTCTTCCCAACTGGGATTGTCCTGATAAAGGGCCTACATTTAATATATGTGTGTAGCTTAAAGTAAACATGCACTGAAAATAAAGAAACAGTATCGTTCAAAACAAAAAATTTAAAGGGATTTTCGTCCCCAACCATTCGGCCGGACGCATAGTCGGTCGGACGACAGCAACGACTGCAAGTGTCGCACAGCATTGGGTGCGTATCGATCTGCGACACCTGCGGTCGTTGCTGTCGTCCGACCGCTGCTGTCGCAGATCGATACGCACCCGATGCTGTGCGACACTTGCAGTCGTTGCTGTCGTCCGACCGACTATGCGTCCGGCCATTCGGGAAGCATATCTTACGGCCCCCTTATGGGGAAAGGTTGGGGAGGTGTCGCAGGACCCATTTTGCAACGGTCGCACCTTAGATTTTGCCGCTTTGTTTCCATTCTTTTAATGTTCCTGATTGTAATATTCGGCTCGTCGAATTACCTTGTTCTTCGGCTTTCAAAAAAAAATAGCACAATAAAAGATATGGAAAGAAAGCCACAATAACTCAAAGGTGCGGCGTTGCGAGTGAGGTCTTGCGACGAACCTCGCAAAAATTCTTTCCCCCATCCCAACCCTTCCCCAATCATTTCAGCATGACGGCACCGGTGGATTGTGTTTTTTTTTTTTCGCGTGGAGTACTGAACCTTTCAAATGAATACAACAGGGTGATCTCTGACGTTTGCGTTGCTCATATACAAAAGCTAGAGACTCATATCTTAACGGTCTGGGGATAGCAGCCAATGGCTGCTTAGCAGGCCAATGGCGACCACATATTCCAATGATGGTGAATATTGAAGCAGCCGCTCACGGATGGACTGTACTTCCCCACCCACTCTACTTTTCAAATCTCGTACTCTCAAACCGCCACCTATTCTTAACCTTCAACCCCACTCCCTCGTCAGAATATCAAAACAGTGCCAATCGAACAAACGGTCTGATCCATGTGAAAATCTGGCGCGCATGCATGCTTGCTGTCGTCAATGTGTTAAAGGAATCCTGCGGAAAATTCTTGCATTCTTTCCTAACATGAATATGTCAGTTGTGATCACTAGAAACAGCACACAAAGTTTCACGCACGAAGATTCGGTTTCCGAAGAGAAACAAACTTACAAAACCACTCTATGGACAGTCGAAGGTAGGTCGCGCGGAGCCAAAGGCGGGGCATGGAAAGAAGTGCGCCTTGGGCGGCCACGTATCAGGCGACGCATTGAAAGAATCGGGTTAAAGCGTTCGATTTGGAGAATAGAGACAAAACGATCGATAGAATAGATGCAGTAGAAAGTGAAATGTTAGTGCAATAAGTCAAAAGGTCAAAAGAGTTTCTAGTGACAGCACTCCGTGAACCAAGTGGAAGCGTTCCCGCCGCCAGCATTTGTGACAGATGTCCGGCGGGAATTTGAACGCGTAGCAGTCCTTCCGGTTTTTCGAATTGTTTACCAAAACAAATGCAATTTTTGTTCTTTTCGTTCTTATCGTGAACGATGGGTCTCAAGCCAGTGATTTATGGGTGAGATAGAATCATGATTTTTCCGGAAAAAAATTTCTTCAGCTAATAATAGCTTACACGGAAGTATTCCGCGAGAGCTAGATTAGTCCCGAAGAATGATAGTTCCACCGTTTCGCCCGAATCACAGTAAAAAAAACATGCCTCTCTTCACAATGTTCACTTCGGAGTGATGTTCTATTATAAATCAGTATTGACACGTAAAAGGCACAGATATTCCAGGATGTTCCGAGGTAGCTGGGAGGGCAGAGCCAATGCACCCATTTACGGGCAGGTTTGGGCAGAAGTACAGCTCCGAGCGAAGTCCATCATCCACCAGTAAATCTCGTGCTGGTTACAACGAAGCGCCTCCGTGGACTAATCGGTGTGTTACATGTTTTCCTTTCATTTTTTTCTTGTTAATGTGAAATAGCAATTCGCATAATGACTGGGTTATCGAATCGATGCGGCCATAATCAGGCTTCAAAGGAATTTTCATTTACCTAGTGGCTCGATCCTGTTTACTTATGAACACCCTCTCATATCATCTTTTCTAGAAAATGAAGAAAAAACGCTTCTTAATAGAAACTTTGTGGTTGTATGCAAAGCAGTGCTCATACGTTGAAGCCACGCTCCGGGATTAGGCTCACTTGCCTGTTTCATACCCGATCGTAGTAGATAGGCGAACTAGCGTTGATGTGCACCCCTTTTGCGGCTTGGAAGTCCGCGTTAAAGGCGCAAGAAGCTTGCTCGACCCGCAATCCACTCCTTCGTCCGCAAGCCCCGCCCTTCCGGTGTTGGTTGCCACGTGACGCTGCTCAAAAAGCGCGGGCGCAGTTGTGCCAGCGATAACATTGCGGTTCTTGTCATTTGCACTGGAGCAACTGGAGCTAGGTTCGTGAAACTCGTACAGCGCGCCCCTTCTCTATCCCTAGGTGGAGTGCGACTGAAATATAGGAGGTCCTTTGCGGGACGTAATCGGGGATTTTTCTTGCTCTTTTCTTTTCCAGACCATTTCCTACCTCTAACTTCATTAGAGAACCCTTTTGCACACCTACCTTATCCAAATCTTGCCTTTTGACTTTTTAGCTTTGAGGCATTTTTAGAAGGTCATCATAGAATGCGAATTTTTGGGAAGTATGTTTTGGATGGGAAAACTGACCGCGACGCAGTGCGCAAGTATTTGCGGGCGCTGATAGCTATCTTACAGTGAAATTCTTAGGAGAATGGAATGTACTGAACGAAGGAGCTGGTCATTCTCTGCCAATGTCGCTGTGCTTTCCCTACAATTTGACCCAGCGCGTTGCGTGCGAGCTCTCAGTTTTTCTATTCCACCAGAGTTCGAATAAGTGCCGCTTGCGACGCTGCCTTCCGTTAGGCTTGATGACTATTCACCCTGGATGAATAGTGGTGTGTGATATGATGTGTGTAAGGTAAGAGCAGAATTCTCATCAGACGGCCACAGTACCCAAGAATAATATCCCCTGCATCGCGTTTTAGCCCGGTCTAAGGTATCCATGGCGTACTGTCCTTGCGCGCCTCTTTACTCAGTCCTTATCCTCATTTAGGAAGAATCCTTCAACATCTTTCGAAGACGACGGTGATGGTTCTTCATTCTTTATCGCCCTTTATGACTTCCATGGTGTTGGGGAAGAGCAGCTCTCAATATCAAAGGGAGATACGGTATTTTCATACTGATTTGTTCTGTTTTTTTCCTCACTGAATTTCAGTGGTATTACAGTGCTGAAATCTCTAACACACCACACGTTACCTTTTGTGGGTGCTCAAACAATGTTTGAAGTGAAACTCATCTCAAAAAAACCATTGCAGTTGTCCATGTTACAGTTTTTTGATGATCATTTTTTGACATACCTTTTTTAATCCCCCACGTATAAAACGAGGCCCGGGTCGTTCTGTTCAATTTTATTGAGGTCATCAGTTTGCTAAAAGCATTCCAAACATTTTTTCAACAATTGTAAAGGCGTGTTATTTGTCCTGTGCCTTACGAGGGCTGCCAGGGTGGACATTCTTCACGCTTTCTGTAACAAAGGCTGTTGTCTTAATATTGTGCTGTCTCGGAGCCTCATCAGCACCTAAATATTGTAGAACACAGAGAGGCACCAATTTTTTTATTTCAAAAGACTTATTAAATTATTACATTAAAACAAAAAAATTCTTTTGAAATGAAAATTTTTTGGTGCCTCTCTGTGTTATACATTATTTACCGCTGTTGTTTATAAGCGGACCAACCCGCCTAAAAGGTGGAGCTGTCGACTTCTGAAGACGAAGATTTGTCATTGAATAAAGTTCCACCTAGCAACCACGCAAGGCATTGAACAAATAACACACAACTAGCAATGCTGAGGTTGCAAGAAGTGAGGCTGGAGAACTTTTCGAAATGCATTGTCGATTGTGACTGGTAACACCTTAACACATTGTGCATAGTAGTTCCATGTTTCGTGCGATCCATACTGATATCGTTGCGTTTCAAAAGTACAAAAGTACATCAAACATTGCTGTTCTGGGTTAGGATGAAAGATCCATAGGTTGCTGCTACTTGATTGAATTCCGCATGAACTCAAACTACTGTCCACTTAATTTCAGGAAACAAAATGACCTAGGAACATTTCATGCGAAAAGTCGGGAATCCTCTTTGTTTCAAAAAAAAAAAAGAACACCCCGGGCAACAAGGGTTTGACGGTAAAACATCCTTCTTCTAATTCATTTGCGATTCTATGGCCATGCTTAGTGGAAGCCCTTCTTCAATATCTCTGGACGATTTAAGTTCTTACTTACGAAAAAATTTGTGCGCAAGTCAAATGACCATAGCTGCTCAACGTGGGTGTGGTTCCCTGGACAGAAAGCGACTTTTTTCGCGTTTTTCGCAGCGCGGAAACATTTTTCGCTGCAGGGAACCTCACGTCCACCGCGCTGATAAGAGTGGGCCTGGAGTTCCGCGTAGCGAAAATGTTTTCGCGCTGCGAAACGCGAAAAGTCGCTTTCTGTCCTAATGAACCACACCCCATTGAATGTTTGCCATCACACAAGGATAATGCCTACCCTTACGGGTGTCGCACTGATAGAATGGAACCGAATGCTTACCTCACCCTCTGCTTTAATAGTAGCGAATGTAGCATGACGGTGCTCGCAGTGACACTAATATTATATGAACCATGGCCACGCTGTCGTAAATATGTTCAAAGATATTATGACTATGAACTTTTCTTTTCAAGAATTATATGAGCTCAGAACAATCCAGTATAGTTGCTGTCAAGGTTCGCGTGATTGGATACAATAAGACTGGGGAATGGTGTGAGGCTCGACTGACGGCAACGTATCGGTCCGATAACCAGAGAGGAGTTGGTCACATTGGATGGATTCCTAGCAGCTACATCGCTCCTCTGAACTCTCTTAACAAGCACGCCTGGTTCGTTTTGCTTATTTTTATATCTTAGATTACATAGGATCTTCTTTCAAATTGCAATCATATGTATTACTGGCAGTATGACTTGGTGGGAAACTACATTAAAGCTTTCTAGGCCTTGCCTCATAATGTAGAATGTGTCCGCCATGCTTAGACAATCTAGGCTGGTGTCAGAGTCCGCGATCCGTCGCAGGTTTCGCTGATTTTCGCGATTTGCGCGATTCACGCGACGGGTCACGGAAATCACAAGTGCCCGATCAATACTGCAAGGTGTTCTCCAATCCTGCCGCCACTTCTGCTTGATAGTGATGGCTGAATGACGACTGCTCATGATTCCACTTGTTTCATATTCAGTGTTTCAAATGTTCAAATGGGCACTTGCAATTTTTGCGATCCGTCGCAGGTTTCGCGCAAATCAGCGAAACCTGCGACGGATCGCGGACTCTGACACCAGTCTTGCTAAAAGGTGCCCTCTGAAATGAAACCTTGATTGGTCACTTATCGTGTTCTTGAAAACATGCGTAAAAACAATGATTAGTAACCGCACTTTTTGTGTGAGTTTTGGGAGGAGGCAAAACACATGCGCAACCCGTGTTCTAGCACATTTGCCGCCGCCTCTGCGTCATCAGTGAACACTTTCCTTAGCTTCACACAGATCAGGTCAAGTTTGTGAGTGGTGCTAGACATAAGGCTCGATTGCAATAGCAGTCATTTTGCAAGCTCAAGATATAGGTAGCAGGGATTGATTCTGAGGGGGTACGCTCTTGTTCCTGCGTTTGCTTTAGCCGTTTCTACATGCCTTCAAATCGTTGGAATCACACCAGCCACACAAGAAATATAGCACATAAACAATCCCTCAAAAAAGGAGCAATCGTGGGACCGGAAGCGTTTATACATTCACGAGAAGGAGTAAGCGAAGGAGCCAACTAGCTGGTTGGAGCAATGGAGAATTATTGAAATTTTATTAGTCGCGCTGCGAAGATTCGGGTTCTTTAGGAGGTTTTCTCAACAAAAGATTCAATGTGGTTCAAAAAATCTATTATATTTTCTTTCTATATTTGTGATCGTGATTAAAACTCATTTAAGACATGAATAACAATTAAAGCCTTTCTCTCACTTTACTTTCATTGATTTTCAGCGTGGAGTAATTTTCTGTTGATTGGGTAATGTCCCGTTTAGGAATGGAAGAGAAATAATTAGGGCCAAAAATTGAAGAAAATGAGATTAAGATCATACAGATGAAGTATAGGAGGAAGTAGCAAAATTTCAGGTACCACGGTAAGGTATCGCGAAATGAATCCGAATACATTTTGGGCAGCGGAATCACTGGATCCTTCTTGGTTCGTGAATCAGAAACAAACGTCGGACAGTACTCAATATCTGTTCGACACGAAGGTCGTGTTTACCACTACAGAATCAACGTCGACGCAGATGATAAGGTATTACATCGTTGTGGCCAGCATTTATTTCTTGTACACTGCTTTGCATATTTATATGTCCATCTGAAAATTTCTCCAAAATTCGCCTAAAAATGTTTGTGAAAAGTCTGAAAAAAATGTTTCTGAAATGAATGAGATTTTGGGTATCAATGTCAACTTCCATTTCGAAAATACGGAAATTTTACGTTTTTATCCGCTGGAAAAGGGCCGCTTACCTGGTTTTGCAAAATTATGAGTCCACTTCATGTTTCTTGATTAAATTTCATTGTTTTCGAAGGAATTGTTTGGTTGCTGGTTACTCTTTTCTAGCAACACCGCTTTTGGTCTTCGAGGGGAGCAAAATTTTGCTCAAAAATATGGAAAGTTGTCAAGAAATCGTACTATGTGTAATTTGGGCCCATTTTGGG